ATTAGCTTAATGCTAACATTACATGGGAAATCCCATAGACGGGCTAACGTGTTATCATCGCGGCCGTTTTTCCTCACAAAAGAAAGTTTTCCACATAAACCTCTAAACTGCTACACAAAACTATCGCGGGAAAGCTTACAAAACAAATAGCAACTACTTACAGGCATGTGCTCTCTCAGGCTCAGCAAGAAAAAGTGAACAAAAAGTGGAACAGACGACAGTTTGTCTAACGGACTGTTTTTCACTGGTGCGGTACTACGGCAAGTCTGCTGGTACAAAAAACACACACCCAAATTATCATGCCTGCCTTAAAGGGGCAGTACACTCCCCGCATGGTATAGAGTACTATACCACTATGTCCCTCTGAGTAACAACACAACTTCAGTGGCGGGTCTCGAATACACCCTGGGGGTGCCTCCTTGAACAACTCTGACCTCCACTTTCCGGACCCTGCGGTCTAGACCCGGAAACGTATTTACCACAAGTCCTGTGGGCCATTGATTTCGTTTAGCCTCCTTGTCCTTCAGGAGCACAACATCTCCAACTTGCAGGCTGGCTTGTTCTGCTTGCCATTTCCTTCTTGGCTGGAGTGTCGTCAAGTACTCTTGACGCCATCTTTTCCAGAATGAATCCGCAAGACTTTGAACTTGCTTCCACTGACTTCAGTAAAGATCCTTGAGGTTGATGTCTTCCAAGGGAGCAGACACGGAGTCCACCTTTTGTGTTAAAAGCATAGCAGGGGTGAGTATGGTCGGCATGTCTGGATCTGACGACACAGGGACTATTGGCCGGGCATTCATGATGGCTGCGACCTCTGCCATCAGCGTGGTGAGCACTTCGTGTGAAAGACTAGGGGAATGCATCTTGAGTAACACGCTATCCAAAATGCGGCGAGCCATCCCTATCATTCTTTCCCATGCTCCCCCTATGTGGGAGGAGTGTGGAAGATTGAAGTCCCACGTGCAGCCTTGGTCTTTGAGGTAAGAATGAAGTGTTGCATCTTCTGGGGTTATACCAAGTTCTTTACATGCACCGACAAAGTTTGTGCCTCGGTCTGAACGAAAGAGCTTTGCTGGACCTCTGATGGCAGTGAATCGCCTAAGCGCATTTATGAAGCTTGACGTAGACAGAGATTCTATCACCTCCAGGTGAACTGCCCTTGTTACTAAACAAGTAAACATAACAGCCCAGCGCTTACTCTCTGCAAGGCCTCCCCTCGTGCCACAGGCACAAACCGTCCATGGTCCAAAAACATCTAATCCAACTTGGGTAAAAGGAGGAGATTGGGTAAACCGATCAGCAGGTAAGTTGGACATTTTTTGTTTTTCCAGACTTCCTCTCAACCGCCTACAGGTGACACACTTGTGTATGATACTTGATACAAGTCTTTTTCCTCCCAGAACCCACAGTCCAGCGGATCTGATGGCCCCTTCCGTGAAGTGCCTACCTTGGTGTACTACTTGCTCATGATAATACCGCACCAACAAGGTAGCAATGTGGTTGCTTTTGGGAATGATTATGGGATGTTTCTCTTCCCATGAGATTGCAGATAATGACGTGCGGCCACCAACTCTCAGTACACCATCTGAATCCAAGAAAGGGTCAAATTTCCTGAGAGGACTGCGTTTTGAGACAAGCTCTCCTTTGAACAGGCTCTTGAGTTCTTCTTTGAAGGCTTCGTGCTGTACAGTCTGTACGATTACTGTTCTTGCCTGTGTACACTCATCTACCTTCGTCAAATCTCCCTCCAGAGTCTTAGCACAGGATCTGACTTTCTGGATGAGCTTTGCTATGCCACATACAAGTGTCTTCCAGCTGGAAAAGCGCTCAAACCTGTGTGAACCAAGCTGTCTTTCAGAAGCTCCTGTAGCAAAGGTTGCAATCAGTGTACGCACATCTGCATCCCTGTCTGGTTCAACGAGCTCAAAGAACTCTGGTGGGGTAAGTGCAACTCTCTCGTCGTTTTCAAGAAATGATGGCCCAGAAAACCAGTTTGTATCTCTCAACAGTGCAGCTGGAACTGGTCTGGTACCATGGTCAGCAGGATTGTGTTCTGAACTGACAAAGTGCCACTGTTCAGGCTGCGAAGACTTCCGGATGCGTGCTACTCTGTTAGCAACATACACATAAAATCTCCGGTTGGCGTTGTAGATGTAGCCCAGCACAACTCTGGAGTCGGTGTAAAACTTCACTGTGTGGATTTCAACATCTAGCTCATCCCTCAAGATATCAACCAGCTCAACCGCTAGTACGGCCGCACAAAGCTCTAGACAGGGCACAGTATGGGAATGCCGGGGTGCTAATTTAGATTTCCCCATGCAGAATCCTACAAGACAGTGCCCTTCATCATCAACTGCCCTGAGGTAGGCAACTGCAGAGATGGCCATGGTGGATGCGTCGCAAAAGACACATAACTCCTTGTGCCGTGTGGAAAGCAGGGAAACAGGTAGGTATGGCCTTGGTATGTGAAGTTGCTCGAGTGCCTTCAGTGAGTCTCTCCAAGACTTCCATTGTGCCACTTTTCCAGCAGGTATTGGGGTGTCCCAATCGCAATGCTCAGCGCATAGCTCTCTGAGTATAACCTTGCCCTGGACTACTATAGGACTTGCAAACCCCAACGGGTTGAATATGCTATTGACTGTGGAGAGAATACCTCTACGGGTAAAGGGCTTCTCCTCCTGGGAGACAAGAAAGGTAAAGCTGTCGGTTTGAAGGTGCCAGTTGAGACCTAAGCTTTTCTGCATAGGCAACGGATCCACACCTAGCTCTAGGTCTTTCAGCTCTTTAGCACGTTCCTCAGGTGGAAACGCCTCCACTACTATGTCGTGATTGGAGGATATCTTATGTAGCCGTATGTTGGAATCAGCCAACATCTCCTTGGTTTCCTTCAGGACTCGGATGGCATTGTCATCGGTGGGGAAGGAAGCAAGACCATCGTCCACATAGAGGTTCTTTAGAACAAACTGCTTTGCCTCTGCACTGTGGTCTTCCTGTCCTTGCAAAGCTGCTCTTCTCAAGCCGTATATGGCAACAGCGGGAGAGGGGCTGTTGCCGAATACGTGCACGGTCATCCTATACTCTGTGATGCGCTTGGTGGGGTCATTGTCCTCGAACCAGAAGAAACATAGGAAGTCTCGGTGATCATGGCGGACTTTGAAGCAATAGAACATCTGTTCTATGTCTGCTGCCACCGCTACAGGTTCCTTGCGGAAGCGGATGAGGACTCCTAAAAGTGAATTATTCAAGTCAGGGCTACTCAGCAGGATGTCATTCAGTGAGACACCATCCTGCTTTGCGCTGGAGTCGAACACTGCCCGTACCTGACCTGGTTTTCGTGGATGATACACTCCAAAGATTGGTAAATACCAGCACTCCTGTTCACCAGTGGGTGGTGGTACTGGTTCAGCATGACCTGCCTCAAAGATCTTCTGCATGAAGGCAATCATGTGTTCTTTCATGTCTGGCTTCTTCTCCAGCATGTGCCGTAATGTCAAAAGACGCTTGACTGCTTGGGCTCGGTTGTTAGGGAGTTTGTGCCTTGGTTGCCTGAAGGGTAGTGGTGCCACCCAACTATTCGAGTTGTCTATGAAGACCTCGTTGTCCATTATTTCTAGAAAGAGTTTGTCTTCCACAGACATAGCAAGTTTGTTGTTGTGTGGCGTTTGCTGGAAGACCCCTTCACCAAGGCCATCTTTCCCATCAAACAGGATTTCGGATGCGTTAGCTCCTGGAAACTGACGATGCTGCTCTGGAGTGTCAAGCTTCTCTTTGATGTGGAGACTGTTAGTGCAAGGGTTGAACAGAGATGGACGACCGTTACTCAGCACGTTGCACCGATAGACGTTTACAAACTCTGGTTTGTGAGCTCTTCCGAGACAAACCTCTACCACAATCACCCATCCCAAGTCGAGACGCTGGGCGTAGGGGGCATCGTGGGGCCCATTGCATCGTTCTCGAACCTTGTGTGCCTGTGGTACATCTCGACCGAGCACGATCAGGATGCTTGCTGATGGATCTATAGCCGGGATTTTATCCACAACCCACTTGAAATGTGGATAATGTCTGGCGATCTCAGGTGTGGGGATTTCAGACTTATCATCAGGAAGCATGTCACATTCGATTAAGGTGGGGAGTGGAATGTGAGTCTTACTATCTAATGACTCCATGATGAAATTGTTAGCCCGGCGCCCTGTTGTTTCCATAACTCCTGAGCAGGTCTTCAAGGTGTATGCTGCCACGCCCTCTGTAACTCCAAAGAGCTCAAAAAACTCTGTTCTTGCCAAAGACTTATTGCTTTGCTCGTCGAGAACAACGTACGCCTTAACAGCTTTCTCCCTCTGGCCAGCTGGATAAACTCTGACAAGACAGATTTTGGAGCACGACTTTGCTCTGACGGTAGTCCCACAAATTTCTGTGCATTTTGCTGTGACAGCATGAGGAGCTTCTTCTCCTTGCTCCTCGCCTTGCTCTCTTGCGGTTACAGGAGTCTCTGATATCCAGGGGGCT